GTAGGGCATTTGCCTTGCACGCAGCCAACATGGCCGACCCGAGTTCGATTCCTCCGCCCCTCTCGGAGAGCCCGGCAAGCTACCGAGAGTATCTCGCCCGCAGGGCAGAGCCTGGCAAGCTACATGTGACGTATTCGATATGCCAGACACAGTAACAACAAAGTCTCCAATGGAGACGTTACTGGGCCTGCTCGAGCAAATCGATGATCAACAGGAGGGCCTTTACCTTTACCTTTTAAAGATGCCAATACATTGAAATCTTGGCTGCTGGAAGGAATATCAAATAATACAGGTTGTTCTTTCACAAACTAGTCCTTATACAGAGAGCTCAAGTATTCACAGAAGAAAGAAGCAGATAACTACAGATTAGTAAGGTACAAGTACTTTTGATAAATAAAGGAACTCAGGGTCAGAGCAATAGTACAAAGGGTAGGGCTTGTACATGACTCACCAAGTTTCGATCCGTGAAACTCCATACAGTTACCTAGGTCTGCCAGTAGTGATCCTTGAGTGTAGAGCCAAGCTTAAGCCCTGAGCAACACCAGGTGTGACCTGACAATCAAACATAGAAAAAAAAAAAGTTAAGGATCTTAAGAAATATGAAATAAAAATGAGTAGATCTCTACACTTCTCAATCATAAATTTAAAATTTATATTCAAACTTTAATTAGATTGAATCACCTACTCAATCTAGATGGTCTCAACAACATGTTGCTCTCCAAAAAAATTCAATATTAGCAGTGTAGAGCTGTGGTATATCTATATATCTGAACTGCTGAACCAACAGAACTGAAAGCACAAGATTCAAACAACAAAACAAAACGTGGTAAACAGCCAAACTTAAAAATATGTCTGCCGCATAACATATGTCTGTCCGCATAACATAAGATTCATCTGTGGAATATAAAGTAACAGAATGAAAGACTAACACCCAAGAGTCGTAGAGATAAGGACCAGGAGGTCTGCTCCATGGCTTGGAAACTGGCCTCAGATGCTGGGGGAAAAGGCAGCTCAGATAGAGAAGGGAACACCAAGTGAAGGATGTTGGAAGGACCCATTTGGGTTGAAAGATGCATGCGAAAGTAGTCGGTAGACCAATTGCAAACCACAACCAAAAGGGAATGCCCTGCCACAGAGGCAGGGCGGGGTGGAGGGGACAGGGTGTGGGTGGTGGGAGGGATGCTGGGACCATTGGTGGTGGAAAATGGGTACTGGTGGAGGGATGGGTACTAGATCATTGTATGACTGAAACGCAAGCACGAAAGTTTGTAAGCCTGCAACTCTACCTCACAGTGATTCACTAATTTAAAAAAAAAAAAAAGGCTGTCAAGAAGTCAGGTTGCGGGGTGGTAGGGATACTGGGGACAAAGGTGGAGGGAAGTTCCACTGATACTGAGATTGGTATTGTAAAATTATATGCCTGAAATTTAACTATGAATAACTTCATATAAATCATGCTCTTCAAAAAAATGTTTTTAAGTTCACATATGCCTCCTCCCTGGAGGGGAGAAGAGATGAGAACTAAAGCAGGCGTGATATTAAGAAGGAACAAAGTTCTGTTTTTAAAACAACTGCTAACATGAAAACAGTAGGGTAGAATATGTGTTTCACAAACAGAAGGGAGGGGCCTCTAAAGGCTGGCAGTGCTGTCCTCTCCAACAAGCTGCCACGAAAGCTGATGCCAGTTCCTTGAAAGCATTAAAATAGAATTATCACACAACCGAGTGATTCCACTTCAGAATATATACCTGAGAGAATTTAAAATGGGGATACAAACAGATATTTGTACATCCAAGTTCATAGAAGAGTTATTCATAATGATCAAAAATGAAAGCAATCCAAACCCACAGATGAATAGACAAGCAAAATGATATACACAAGTTGAAAACAAGTTTATTGTATATAAAAGTCAAATTTTAGTTAAAAAAGAAATTCTACATATTACACATAAATAAATCTGAAAAAAAGCTACGTTAAATATGTCAGTCATAAAAAAGAAAATACCATATAATTCTACATTGAGAAGTTTCTAGGAGTAGCTGAATGCATAAAGACAAAGTAGAAAGTGGTTTATCCAAGTGATGGTTAGGTGGGAAAGGAAGTTTAATGACTATAGTTTCTGTTATACAAGATCAAAATATTTTTGGAGAATAGTTATTCTACAAGGATATATTTAACAGTACTACTCTACACACTTAAAATGATTAAAATTTAAGTTTTATGTTACATAAATAATAACACAGCTTTTTAAAAGTTAAGGGGAGATATATTTGCATTTCTCTTGTAATCTGTTCTCTTAAATACAATATAGGCATCCCTAGCATACTATAGTCAGTAACACTTTCTCTAACGTTAGTACAATCTTAAATTTTAATCAAATCTGATAAGCTTCATATATATCAGTGAAATTTCAATGTACTGTCAATATTATGTGATAATTTTCATGGAATATTTCATGAAAGCATCAAGAATCCATTGTTTGGCACATACACAAAATATCGTAATATAGAGAAAAGTGTAAGTAGGAAGGTTGAAAGTAAAATCAGCTCATTTTGGCTTTGCTATGATATAGCAAATATTTTTTCCTTACATATTTTCTGTATTTTTCTCAGAGGAAAATCCTTGTTTTTTCTTAAACAATGCCTTTGTATTTGCCAAATTTGGATAATTTGAGCATTTAAGCCCATAATGCAGCCAGTGTGGAACACAGACCTTTCATATGTGAGGACCTAAGTTTGATCCCTGACACTGTATGGTGTACTCACATGCCCAGCATTGTTGAGTGTTTCCCAGAATACTTTTTTTTAAAATTAAAAATAAGAGAATCCAGAAAGAGAATATAGTGGGTAGGAAATACAAGGCAAACTTTGTATGCTGTTTATCAGGGATCAATCCCCAGCAAACATATGGTTCCCGGGACCTGTCAGGTGTGGCACCCAAAACAAAACAAAACAAAACAAAAATTTAAAATAATAATTTTTTACATGTCCCTGCAAGCTTCTCCTCAGGGTTGAGAATAAAATGGCCCTTTCAAGTATGACTACAGATAGCTACTTTTTTTTAATCAGTATTTTTGTGCAATACCAATTACCTTATGTAAGTTTCCCTAGTCAGCAATACATGACTCAGACATGCATACACACACACACACACACACACACACACACACACACACACACAGAAATACCCAGATGAAAATTTCAATTTTCTCTGTGCTCAACTATACAATCAAACCAGTAAATCAGGGTGAACTGCTTGATGTGTTTTATGTGTCGGGAAATCTTGGTTGGTATAAAACTGCTTGTGTGCTTTTTTTTTTTCTATTGCCAGGATCTCACACATACGAGGCATGTGCTCTGCACTAAGCCACATCCCTGCCCCTCCCATTATTTAAGTCCAAACAAATCATGAAACCCGTTTTAATTTTGCTTATTCTGCAATGTGAAGGCGTGTTTGAGAAATGGAAGAGACAAGGAACAGAACAAAACAACCTTACTTGCTCTGATTCTAGTAAATTAAAAAAAAAAAGCAATCACAGACCTGTTAGTAAATAACAGCAAAAGTACATTCCATTTGAACAGTAACTTTGTTGAGTTGTACTTTGAGCTATTTCTGAAATAAAGCAATCGTTATAAAGATTGTAATTTTGTGTATTTGGCAATTCAGGGTACAATATTTTTTTGTTTGGCAGTTCAAAGGCCCTACAACAAAATGCCCAGTTTTGCATGCAAAAAACCGAAAAATCAAGAAGTGATAGGAAAGTAGTTAAAAAGTTATCTTTAGAAAGGGGTATGTAAACAAAAAAAGGGCAAGAAAAATGGGAAAGCATTTTTTTGTGTGTCGGGGGCGGTCACACCCGGCGATGCACAGGGGTTATTCCTGGCTCTGCACTCAGGAACTATCCCTGGCGGTGCTCAGGGGACCATATGGGATGTTGGGAATCGAACCGGGGTCGTCCGCGTGCATGCAAACACCCTACCTGCTGTGCTATTGCTCCAGTCTCCGGAAAGCATTTTTAATAGCATCTGGTGTTACCTTACGAATTTACCCCCTGCGAATCTTAAATTTGAGTCGTTATTTGAGTAATAAAAGGTAAACCACGAGGGAATATTTAGGATTAGCTTCTTACTGTGGCTGTCTCTGTTTGGAATGAAGAGAAAGGAAAACGTGATCTGTATGATCAACTGGGCAAAGAAAAGTTAGCCATTTGAGATTAATTTAAAAGCATGGGCAAATTTTATGGGAAGCAGCCTATCTAGCCATTATCATTTTTAAAAATGGAGCAGGGAGGCTGGCACGGTGGCAGTGGGCAGGGCACTCGGTCTGCTTGCGGGATGCCCACCTGGTGCCCGCTGCACCCCCAAGAGTGATTCCTGCGTGCAGAGCCCCGACGACCCCGGGGATGGGGCGGGCAGGCCCCGGACCAATGAATGACCAAGAGGCAGGGCCTGTTGATGATGCTACCTAGTAGAAAGCACAGAGCACGGAGCATCTTCTCAAAAAATGTGGCTCACTTCTTTCTGAAACTGAAAAAATGTGAACATGCTCATTTCCTGTCCGGGAGCATCTCAGTGCAGAGCCAGCGAAAGGCGTCGCGGCCACGAGTCAGTCGTCTAGGCCGAGATGCCGGCGCTGGGCCCCGGGGAGCCCGGCCGGAGAGGGGCTGACGGCGCGGACCCGGGAAGGATAGGCGGGGCGGGGACCCGGGGACAAGCGGGGCGGCCCGGAGACCCAGGGAGCCGGCAGGTGGGCGCAGAGGCCGGGACCTCCGGGAGCAGGTGGGCGGGGCCGAAAGGAGAGGGCGGGGCCTCAGTCGTCTCCGTGGGCGGGGCGGGGCGTCCCGGAGAGGGTGGGCGGGGCGGGGTTGGGCGGAGTGGGGCGGGGCGCCCCTGAAGTGGGTGGGCGGGGCCGGGCGGAGCGGGGCGGGGTCTCGGGCTTCTCTTTTCGGAGAAGGAGAAGTGGGGCGGGGCGTCTGCGCGTCGCGCGCCGATGACGTGTCGGGGCCGGCGAAGCCGCCGCCACTTCCTGGAGCCGCGGGCCGGGCTGCTGGCCGCAGTGTACGTCGGCGCCGGGAGCTCGCGGCCGCCACCATGTCCCACCAGACCGGCATCCAGGGTAAGGGCGGCCGGGCGGCCGGGCCGACTCCGTGGCGGGCCGCCAGACGCGGGGAGGCGGCCGAGAAGCACGCTCCGGCCCGGCGGCCTCGGCCCCCGCGGGCCGCGCCACGTTGCAGACGCCCCGAGGGCCGCGGGGGCCCGCCCGGGCCCGCCCGAGCCCTGCCCGGTCCGCAAGGGGCATCTCGTCCCGGGGGCCTCGGGGGCAGCGGGGACCCGCCCAGCCGAGCCCGCTGCGGGGCGCAGAGCGGTCAGGGGCGGCCCGGGTCCCCCCGGCTCTCGGGAACCTGTGCGTTTCCTTGTTCACCATCCCACGGAGATAGTCACAGGACTTTGGCCGTCAGAAGGAAAATGCTGGATTGAAAATTTTCGTTTAGGATCCTCCCCGAACTCCTGCGTCTGTAACTGTCGAGATGGGGACGTAGCCCGGGGACTCCGAGCGCGGGGCTGCCCGGCGCAGAGGCTGGCGGCGCCGCCCGGGGCCTCTCGGATAGCTGGTGGCCGGGGGAAACTGCATCCCAGCCTCAGAGACCGGCCCGCGAGCGCTGCTGATCCCGGCCAGAGGGACCGTCACACCTCCTGCACCTCCTCCTGCACCACCACTTGCGCACACACACACACACACACACACATGCACATGCACACAAGGGCGTGCAGACACGCGTGCTCACGCACACATGCACACAGGGGCATGCAGGCGCACGCACACGCAGGGACATACATGCACATAGGGGCGCGCAGACGCACACACCGTACACATACACACCAGGGCGCTCAGACACACGCACGCACACACAGGGACGCGCATTCGTCCCCTCTGACGGGGGTGGCTCGGGTTGCAGCCTAGCGCACCTGTGGTCCTTGCCTTGAACTCGCAGCCCGAAGCGAAGTGCAAGCTCTACCTGCGCTGGGGCCGCTTGGCTTGGTCTAACCGACCTGCTCAGAGCTTCAGCTGTTTGAGAAACACTTTAAATCTACAACCAGATGCAGAGGCTCGGACTCGTTTTACTGACCTTTTATTAACAGGATGCGCTATCTCTCTGATACTTCACTGTTTCTAACGGGAAAATACCGAAATTGAGTTGATCAGGGCGCTGGAAGAGATCAAAGTAGGTTTTAACATCTTTCATACAACCAGTAACAGTATTTCTAAAAATGCGGTTTGAATTAAAAAGCTGCTCCAGCCTTACCATCCTGAAAATATATATATACTGAATGCCCTGAACAAACACCATGACCTTTCGCACCTGTATTGCAAACCATAAAGCGCTAAAGGAAGAGGAGAGAGAGAGAGAGAGCAGGAAGGGAAGTGTCTCCTATAGAGGGAGGCTGGGGGTAGGAGGTGGGGGTTTGGGGGGTGATGGTGGGGAAACGGGGTACACCTGTGGTGGGAAATGTACGCTAGTGGAGGGAGGGTGCTGATCATTATATAAATGAAACCCGATTAGGAACAGCTTTGTAATGGTCTGTATCAAGGATATGCAATTAAAAGTTATTTTAAAAAGTAGTGCCTAGGTCAGTCAGCTTAATCAATGGCTGAATAAATAGAACTACGTTGAAAAAAAAGTGGTTCTTTAATGGGTTTGAGGTAATTTTAAATTGTCTAGCTAAAAATTAGAATTAATAGACCTTGAAATTTTGCTTATGTTTCTTAGCTGTATACTAGTGTCCTCAAGATTTATAATTTAATTTACTGATAATAATTAGGATGGTAGATGCTCAGTTTCTTCTTTGTATTATAGCTTTTTTCATTTTAGTGGCATTAGAAATTAAGTATTAAAATTTTTTTTTTCACAGCAAGTGAAGATGTTAAAGATGTCTTTGCCAAAGCAAGAAATGGGAAATACAGACTTCTGAAAATATCTATTGAAAATGGTTAGTTATGTACTTTAAATTATTTTGCCTTTGGGTCCAGTTTCTAAGTCCTTTCAGTGAATTGAATTGAAACAAGTTTCAAAGCTTGCTGTTCTCTAGGTGATATGGATCCCATGTACTTGGGGGGTTTTCTTGAAGGCCTCTGCTTTATCTTCAGAATTCTGAAGTTGGCTCCCAGGAAACTAGAAAGGCAGATGTCTTCCAAATAGAATGTCTTCCTCTCTGTCTCAGTTTCTGCATTACAATCCATTTTTAGTATTCCAGTGCTTCTATCTCAGAAAGGAAATAAGCTAATAGGTAATTTTTCAAAAAAAAAGAAAAAGTTGTGAATTGTTATTCAGTAGTTAATTTTGAAGTAGAGACAAGATTTCATACTCTCATTTCACCACTTGTTAGTGAAGAATTTGTTCTTTAGAGCTTTACCCCTTTATTTTAGTAAAGTTCTGAGAATATAAAAAAACTTTCAAAATAACATTTTCCCTTTGCAGCAGGAAATTTGATTGGTTGGGAGAATCTTTAATTTTTTTGGTAATTTGAATTTGAACACTTGATATCCACTACTTAATCATGAATAAATGCTAAAATACTCTATCGGCCTTACTAAATATTTCGAAATACATTGATATGTAAAAATAGCTTTATAAACTGGAAATAAACATGATTTGTTTTCTATTTTCTGCTTAGTAAAAAAATAACAATTTTGGAAATACGCAAATGTCCAGTGTGTGTGTTTATAGTCAGTAGGAATAAATACATCCCATGATACTGCAGTTTAGAAAGTACTGAGCCCAAAAAAAAAAAAAAGCCATCACTTCTGAAGTGTTTGCTTAAATATTTTAAATGCTAGAGTTTACCTGCAGAAGGAAAATATACACTGTTTCTTCAGTCATTATTCTCTGGTTTTGTTCTTGAGGCTTTTTGGATTTTTTTGTGTGTGTGTGCGCAACACTTGGCTATGTTCAGGGCTCTGCCAGGGATCATTCCTGGCAGATCAGGGACCATATTGGATGCCAGGAATTGATCCTGCCTCTGTCCTTTGCAAGGCAAACGCCCTGCCGTCTGTCGGCTGTATTGTTGCTCCGCTCCCCATTATTCCCTGGTTTTATGTTATTTGTATTTTGGGGATCAAAATTTAAATGAGGAATTATGGACGAGTAAGTAGTGCTCGCTTTAGACCTTTTTGCAGTTTGATTATATGTTGTGAATATCCACTGTTAAGAACTTTTCCTGACCTTTCCCTGAGCCAGCTATTTTGAGTCAGATACTAGTTTGTAATTTGTGTGATTTGTTTATATGCACTCCTAAATAGCATAAGGTGCCGTTTGGAGATTTGTTTGGGTTTGGGTGCCATACCTGGCATGTTTTTGATCTTGTAAGTTCACATAAACTGACATTTTGAATCTCTTGTGTACTTTTTATAATCCATGTGATGGAGAATTTAATATTTTTAAGCTGCAAATAGACTTTTGTGATAATGTTCTCAGTGGTTAACCTTTAGGCTGCTTTCAGTTTTCATTGTAATTCTGTATTGCTCGGTGAATACCTTTGTGCATTTATGTTATGTAAGAGCTTTATCTATGTATTGTGCATACAGTTTTCCTTGATTTTTTTCCCCCTTAGCTGCCTCAGAGTAGCTCTAGTAATTTATGCTTTAGCACAAGTTTTAAGACTTTTTAATGGCCAAACAGGAGCTCAATCAGATGTTATTTTCCATCTCTTACTATAGAATTCAGTGTTAATTTCAGAAATGATTCCTTTGACGGGTAGTGCATTTCATTAAATATTGCACTGTCCCGTAGCACTGTCATCCCGTTGTTCATCAGTTTGCTTGAACGGGCACCAGTAATGTCTCCATTGTAGACCTGTTACTGTTTTTGGCATATCGAATACACCACGGGGAGCTTGCTGGGCTCTCTGAGAGGGACAGAGGAATTGAACCCGGGTCGGTCTCCTGTAAGGCAAACACCCTACCCGCTGTGCTATCGGTCCAGCCCCTATTAAATACATCGTGATTAACTTTTAGTATAATTTATTTTGGGAACTAGAATATAATCACTCATTCATTAACCATCCACTTAAATGTGATTATTTTTGTTTTATGCTGGTCATAAAATCATCTGTCTTTAATACTGTCCTTTCAACTTTTAGTTATGACTGATAGTAATTTGGAAATAACTATTAATTCTGTTTACCACTATCATTTGTTATTTTAAACCATGTGTTTTTTTAAAAAAATTGTTCTTTATAGAGAAACTTGTGATTGGATCATGTAATCAGCCTTCAGATTCCTGGGATAAGGATTATGATTCCTTTATTTTACCCCTGTTGGAAGACAAACAACCATGCTATATATTATTCAGGTTAGATTCTCAGAATGCCCAGGGGTATGAATGGATATTCATTGCATGGTCTCCAGATTATTCTCCTGTAAGTAATTTTTTTGTAATTTGTTTACATTAAGTGCAAGGGAAAAAAGTTTCTAGAGTCCTAGGCTAAGAAAAACTTAAGGCGCAGCATTGATCTCCTGTAAAAAGGAGTGATTGTGGAGAAGATTCTTAGTTAATGTGCAGTTGGGAGTAATGTGCTCAGATTCAGAAGACTTTTTCTTTGAAATCAGTAATATTAATAGTGAATTAAAAGTTTTTAACTTGTGCTTGAGTCAGGCATGTAGCTCATTGGTAAAGAACCTGTCTTACATATGAGAAGGCCCTAGATGCTGCAAAAACAGGAAGAAAAGCTTTGGCAACTAGAAATGACTCTGATCTCCTAAGGAATACGACGACTTTGCTCTGAGTAGTAGTAGTAGAATTGATAGAAAAGCACTGCACATTAATTTGATATTTGAAAAAGCCATTTGAGTGACAGACACAACTGTTTTAAGTAAAGTTAATAAACTAAGGAGAACATAAGATTACACGTGCTTACTACTTAGGATTTTTTACAATTCTGTTTTATATAGGAAATAATTTTTGAATTATCTAGATAACCATTTTTCCTTCCCCTTTAATTCCTGTCTAAAAGAAATACTGGATTTTACTGTATGGATTTGACCGTGAGGATTATGAAAGGTTTATGTTGGGTGGCAGTTTTCTTTAGTAGCTTGCCGTGGATGCTATTTGATTCTTTAATAGCACATAATGTAGTTCTTTTGTTTTTGTGCTCCTCATAGAATGGTCTATGACATAGGTATGCCATGAATATCTGGTTCTATATTTGTGGATGTGGGCTACTCCCAGTCTGTGTGTGGGGTGGGGGTTGTGCTCAGTGCTAAGCACGAGGGGGGCTGGTTGTATGTCAGGCCACCCCAGTACTCTACCTGTAGCCTGAATATTTGATTCGTTTCTTAAAATTTAATTTTGGGGGAGGGGTGGGCCACACCTGGCAGTACTTGGGGCTTACTCCTGATTCTGGCAGTACTCTAGGGACAAGAAGGGGTGCCAGTGATTGACCCCGGGTAGGATGTCTCTGGCCCCTGAACACCTGATTCTTAATGCATTATATATGATCTAGATTTACTTTGAGTAAAATGTCAGTATCAGAGTTTCCTCATTTCACTGTTTTCTTCCTTGTATTTTAAGTTACTGTTTTAAGTGGTTTTTAATTTTTTTAGTTAATTTTGTACTACAAAATAGGAATCATTTTTGTTTTAAACATAACATATTGATGTCAACATTAATATTTAGGTTCATATTATATGATGACTCCTTGTATACATATACTTTAGGATATTATTGTCAATAGATTTCAGGTTTATTACAGTATAGTCTTAATGTGCTTGAATATTTTATTAGACTCAGTGCTATCTTTTTTGTAACAATAATTTTAGCTATACTAAGTTAACTTTCACAACGTAACAGGTTCGTCAAAAGATGTTGTATGCTGCAACAAGAGCAACTCTGAAAAAGGAGTTTGGAGGTGGCCACATTAAAGATGAAGTATTTGGTACAGTAAAGGTACAAAACATTTTTATGTATGTTCTATATTTTGCAACTAAAATATTAGCATTCCTAGGTCAGTGACAGGAATTCAGATTGATGAATCTGTAAACATAAGAATAATGAAATTGGCATTGGCAATGTAGCTCACTGGTAAAGCACCTCCCTAATGTGTGTATTTGTTAGGGTTTGACTCCAGTACCTTAGAAATAATTTTTAAAAGGATATAGAAATAGTACAGTTCATATGATATGCAAGGGTAATGCTTATGTAATTAAATCCTTACACCAACTTATTTAATATAATAAAGAGGTATAACATAATTATTCTAAAATACTTTGGAATCAGCATTGTTAATTCATGATTATAAACTTCTCTATACACAGAACTCAGAATGGGAGTGTTTTGACTATTGAATGCAGGGAATTTGTTCCAGAAAGCTAAACTGCTCTATAGGCTTGGGGATGTGACCAGATGTCACATCCACCACACTCGTGTGAAGTTCAGGGAAGAGTAGAGTTGACCTTAACACTTTCTAAACTCTAGAACAGAGAATTTATCGATCAAAATGCTTCGTTAAGTGAATGCTTTTGTTATTCGTGAAAGTTAATGTCACTTGGACTTTTAGAGAAGCTCTGATAGACCTTTCTGTGCTTGCAGGAAGATGTATCATTACACGGCTATAAGAGATACTTGCTCTCTCAGTCCTCCCCTGCCCCGCTGACTGCAGCTGAGGAAGAGTTACGGCAGATTAAAATTAATGAGGTAAATTACAACTGTGGAATCATTGTAAAATATTTGGTCTTTTCAAATACCATGTTTTTAAATTAGTAGATGTGTAGAAAACTAGAGAATAAATATGTTTGGTAGAGTGACTATATTTATCTTGTTTAGAGATAAGATGTGTGTGCTTAGCTCACTGTGTTTTCAAGGAAAAGCTTAAAAATGTTAAGCTTCATGTCAATTTTTGAAATAATTTTGGCTTGTCTTCACAATATATGTGTTAGATTAGTAAACTTCCTGTTGGACTTTGAATAAAAATAAATGAGGGAAATGTGTGTAACCTGTTCATAGCAAAGAACTCTATATCTTAAGATCACCTGAAGCAGGTTTGTTTGTATGTTTTAGAGAATAGTGATGATTCTGAAGAGGGTAAAGTACAAATATCTGTAGGGTATTTAAGATTTCTAGAACCTCTGTAAATTAACTTCTGTGAACACTACTTGAGTGGATGTGCATATGTAAGTAAGTATAAGTGGGAGATGGTTGAATATTTGTTTAACATTTGAGTGGATAAATTTCATCCATACTATAGTTTGTCATTTTTTCATGTGTCTCCTTTAACCATTTAAATTACAAGTTTGAAAAGTTGTGACATTTCTGCTGGGATTGTACAGAAAAGAGCCTATAGCAGAAACCTTTATTTATTAGCTTGAGTTGACTCAGAGGAATCAGTCTGGAAAGTAATTAATTTTTATTTGATACTAACCTTGACAACTGGCTCTATCATATTTGAGAGGGATCTTTATGTGTGTGAGTGTTTTGTTTTGTTTTGTTTTGTTTTTACAAGTTTGATAGTTTGTTTTATTCCTTGCAATCAGAACCCAGAGGATCGTATTGGGGTATGCATTTGCATATGTTCTATGATGTTCTCATTATCCAGTACCATTTATGCTGTAGAATCTCCATTCATTTAAAAATGCAATTTCTACTTGGTTTTCTGTGGGAGCACTGCAAAAGAGATCCTATACTAGCTATAACTTAGCGACTATAAGAGTCCTAAACTTGTGCTATGTGCATTGAAGAAAACCTCCTAAAAATCCTGTTCTTCATGTTTATGTACATCGTGGTCTTCTTTTTTTTCCTTTCTTTCACCTTTGAAGCCACATACTGGCAGTGCTTTGGGGCTGCTCCCGCTGAGTGTTTGGGGATCACTCAGAGCGGTGCTTACAGGGATTGAACCCGGGGCTCCTGTGTGCAATGCATGCACCAGCCTCGTCGAGTTGTCTCCGCAGCCCACACAACTGTGTGCTTAGCAAAGAATGCTCTTAAGTCTGGAACTTCTGCAGTAGTTCAGCTGTCTTGTGTCTATATATTGTTTGTTTTCCTTTCAGTTCAGTGCATGGCATTGTGTTGCATTTAATGTTCAGAAGAACTAAGTTCTGTACTTTTTTGTCTATCATAGTGTTCAAAAGTTTTATTGAGTAAATTATTGTAATGAAAAGTCATAACCTGAAGTTCTTTCCAAGAGCTTATGTAGCTCATTGCAGTTGTGCCAAACCAAACATAGAAACAAAAAACCCCAAAGCCCCACTAACACTACTCAGATTTCCATTCAACATTTTGTAAAGATGTGCTATATCGTTTGTACACTCTGCATGTTGACAGTGTGCTAACAGGACATGAACAAAAGTGGGAAATTACTTGCTTTGTAAGTGCAGTATTTTAAGTGTTAATTTTATTAAAATTACGGGCATGGGTGGAATGACTTGTACTTTGTAGAGGTTGGGTTTTGTTTTGTTGCCATTGCAATATTTACAAATACTAAACAGTCATCTGTAAATGCCATCTGTCATACTTAGGTACAAACTGATGTGAGTGTGGACACCAAGCATCAGACACTACAAGGTGTCGCATTTCCTATATCGAGAGAAGCTTTTCAGGCTTTGGAGAAATTGAATAATAGACAGCTCAACTATGTTCAATTGGTAAGAGTCGTGTAATGATTTGTTAAAGTGACTACCCTCTTTGGTGGCTTAAGTTTGTATAAGGTATTACTATTTTTAAACTGCAGAAGCAATATATTTTTATGGTGAAAAAATCTGAAATAACACTTCCCTAGGAGAACCAGGGGTTTTATTGTAAAATTAAAATTTCTGTGTGTATGTTGTAATGGTTTTATTTTCTCTTTGTTAACAGGAAATAGATATTAAAAATGAAACCATAATTTTGGCCAACACAATAAATACAGAATTAAAAGACTTGCCAAAGAGAATTCCCAAGGATTCAGCACGTTACCATTTCTTTTTGTATAAACATTCCCATGAAGGAGACTATTTGGAATCCATAGGTATTTGTTATCCATTGGTTTAATTTGTTTCATTCCTCTCACTTATTACTATATTAGCTCTGTGCTCTTATTTATTGCTCAGCGAGTTTCAGTCTTATAATATAGCTTAGTGTATACTTGATATGCTAAATATAGTTACTCTTTTAAATTTCAGTGTTTATTTATTCAATGCCTGGATACACATGTAGTATAAGAGAACGGATGCTGTACTCTAGCTGCAAGAGCCCTCTGCTTGAAATTGTAGAAAGACAACTACAAATGGATGTGATTAGGAAGGTAATAACTTAATTGTTCATCTAATTTATCTTATTTATAGATTTTTATTATTTTTGTCATATAGTTCATAATGTGTTATGACTTACATAAGTGAATTAGTTTTCTTATCATAAACCGTTTTTACAGAAAGCTCGTTGACTAGTGCTGTTAGAGGTCAATCATTGATTAAATCAAAACCTAATAGGAGCTACAGTCTATCTCCAACTATGAGTTACAGGATGGTTGAGAATACAGTTGGTGTTTTTTTTTTCCCTTTATTTTATTTTATTTTTTTTTTTACAGTTGTAAATTTACAATTTTTTGTGCTTTGGTTTCAATTATACAATGATCAGATACCCATCCCTCCACCAGTGCCCATTTTCCACCACCATGGATAATATCCCTCCCACCCCCATCCCCCCATCCCCCTTGTCTCTGTGGCAGGGCAATCCCCTGTGTTCTCTCTCTCCTTTTGGGTGTTGTGGTCTGCAAAAGAGGCATTGAGTGGCAAACATGTTCAGTCCATAGTCTACTTTCGACATGCATCTCCCCTCCTGGGAGGATCCTCCAAACATCCTTTATTTGGTGCTCCCTTCTCTATCTGAACTGCCCTTTCCTCTAGGATACCCGGCTGGCCTCTGAGTTATGGAGTAATCCTCCTGGTGCTGATCTCAGCTATTCTTGGGTATTAATCTCATACTTTGTTACTTTATATCCCCCAGATGAATGCAATCTTTCTATGTCTATCCCTCTCTTTCTGACTCATTTCGCTTAGCATGATACTTTCCATATTGTACCACTTGTATGTAAATTTCATGACTTCATCTTTTCTAACAGCTACATAGTACTCCATTGTGTAGATGTACCAAAGTTTCTTTAACCAGTCATCTGTTCTTGGGCATTCAGGTTTCTTCCAGTTTCTGGCTATTGTAAAGAGTGCTGCAATGAACAAACAAGTGCAGATATCACTTCGACTATACATTTTCGCCTCTCTGGGATATATTCCCAGGAGTGGTATTGCTGGGTCAAATGGGAGCTCAATTTCTAATTTTTTGAGAATCGTCCATACTGTTTTCCAGAAGGGCTGAACCAGTGGACATTCCAACCAACAGTGAAGGAGTGTCCCTTTCTCGCCAAATCCACACCAGCATCGGTTGCTTTTGTTCTTTTGAATGTGGGCCAGTCTCTGAGGTGTGAGATGGTATCTCATTGTGGTTTTGATCTGCATCTCCCTGATGATTAATGATGTAGAGCATTTTCTCATGTGCTTTTTTGCCATTCTGATTTCTTCTTTGAGAAAGTTTCTGTTCATTTCATTGCCCCATTTTTGGATGGGGTTGGATGTTTTCTTCTTGTGGAGTTTAACCAGTATTTTGTATATCCTGGATATCAACCCCTTGTCAGATGTGTATTTGGTGAATATCCTTTCCCATTCTGTAGACTGTCTTTGTATTTTGGTCACTGTTTCTTTGGAGGTGCAGAAGCTTCTTAGTTTAAGATAGTCCCATTTATCTATCTCTGTTTGCACTTGCTCGGCCAGTGGCGTGGCATCTTTGAAGATACCATTAGCTTCAATGTCATGGAGGGTTTTGCCAACAGTTGGTGTTTTTTTGTTGTTGTTGTGTTGTTTTTTTTTTTTTTGAAAGGAAGAAAAGATCATAAACATTACAGTTTGGGGAGCACTGGAATCGTGGGGAAATATATGGTTTATTTTTAGATCTTTCAGTTCTTAAAATACAGTGTTTTTGATTCTTAAAGGAGTAAGAGCGTTCAAATCTAATCACCTTCTCTAGCAGGAGTTCAAGGGATCAGATAGTGAGGATTTCAGATCTTGCTCAGCCATAAATATGAAGTACCAGAGCTGCAAAACTTAATAGTGGTGGCTTTCACTTTCAAGTGTTTGTTAAGTAGGAGAAGAAACAAAATAGAAACGAATTCTATCCCAGTAACTCGTGTAACTGCCTTTTCCTCTTACCACTAAATGAAAGTGAAATACTAGCTTGTGGTCACTGATTCTCTCACTGGAATGAACCTGTTGGCTTTGGAACATTCTCGCCTGAAAAGTGACATGTTGCATCTGTTCTTTTTTGAATGATCTGCTATTTGGCATGGTGTCACCTGTTGCTAATCTGATCTCTTCCAGATAGAGATTGACAACGGAGATGAGCTGACAGCAGACTTCCTCTATGAGGAAGTGCACCCCAAGCAGCACGCGCATAAGCAGAGTTTCGCAAAACCGAAAGGTCCTGCAGGCAAAAGAGGAATCCGAAGACTAATTAGGGGTCCGGCTGAAACTGAAGCCACTACTGATTAAAATCACTGTATTAGGGATCATGATACTAGTTTTTTAAAAGTTCAGCTTTTAGTACAGGAGAACTGAAATCATTCCACGTTGATAACTAGTAAGGGGAAAATTATACTTTTAAAAAATAGCACTTTTCACTTCTGTGTGTTTTTTAAGATAATGTAATAGAAGACTCCTGATTTCTATTTTTAAGTTTAAACTAAAAACAGGTTCCACAAATGTTTAATTTCATCACACTGTTTTCATGAAGTGGTGATTCCATGCTTTCACATAATTCTTAAATTTTATAGTTGGCCAATACCAGAAAGTCTAATATCTTTAAGATACACTTCTTACTAATCTTTAGTAAAGACAGTGAACTTTTTCTCTAAGGGAGAGATAACAACCTTAGATTATTAATACTACTATAAATACGTTAAAGGGCAGAAGATTATTTTGTAATTGAAAACACTGCACCAGGAGAATAGTGGAAAGGTGGTTTACTCTGTGGAGCAGGGCTCTCCGGATGGGGGATCTGGCCTGCGACTCAGAAACATGCTTTATTGCAGACGTCTGTTCTCACCTTTGACTTTGGTTTTATAAACAGCATTAAAATTTTTGAAGATAAGCTCACTCCTTAAGGATACCACATATCACATTTTCAATACTGTGTGGTTGCTGATGATACTGAAGGACACATGTAAAGAGCTTTAGTGAATTCTTTTTAGTACTTTAAAGAACTCCATGTCAAGTATATGATATAACTGGAGTGTGAAGTCAAGTACGTTCAGATCGACTATTAAATTAGTACCCGAAGGTAGACAAAACTAAAATCAGTTTTGAAGAGGTTTTGAATATCAGGATATCTTTCCCAACCATGTGCTCACAGACAAATTGTTTTCATTATAACTTTAGAGTAAATGTTCAGGTTTCTTAATTGTTTTAAAATAATCTTGGTACTTATCACCTTAACATAAACACTTCAGAATCTTGTTTCAATATATATCTTATTTCAAACTACACTTAACTATTTTCTAAAGCTTTGCATTTTCATTAAAGCCTCCAGAGGCTTAACTGAACTTAAAATGAGATTTTGAGCCTCGTTTTCTTTGATACTTGAAATAGAGGGAGCTAGAATACTTCATATTTAATCTGTTAACCTGCTGCAAGAGCCATAACTGGGTTTTCTAAATGACTGTGGGTTTCCAGGATTTAGAATTTCTTGTTCTAAACTTTATGCTGCATAAAACAAACATTAGAAATGCACATTTCATAGTATAAAATATGAAGCACTTGTTTTTATACCTTATTATCTAAGGAAATATATGCACCTTCAGAATTCCAGAGTGTGTTCAAGTAAAGCATATTAGAATAATGGGTGGACAGACTTTTTCCCCCCCTAGAATTAAGAGTATTTGTGTGGTTTCCTTTGTTTACAGATAATCCGACTATAATATTTAAACATGCAAAATAGCTGACAGTAAAGTTAAACTTGTTTACTACAGATATTCTTTTAAGTTGTTTCATGGGTGCACACATAAACACTTAAACACAAATTACTGCATTGAGAATCCTGGAACTGTGCTGTAGATCAGAGCTGAAAACTGATTTTTCAGTCAAGACAAATGTTAACTTGTCATGAAGGTAATACAGTAATAGTGAATGTTTTTCTTTACCATCCATGTGCAATTATGCTCTAAATTCAACTACACTACATGAAAGTAAATGGACATTCCAGAAATAGATGTGATTGTATAGTCTTTAATTATTATTAAACCAATGATTGCTGAAAATCAGTGACACATTTGTTATAGAGTGTAACTCATCGTTTACAGTATGTTTTAGATGACATCATCATAACGATAGGTGAATAAGGTATTACAAATAAATTTATATAGCAGTGAAGAATTCCATGCCTTCTGTGGACGTTTTATAAGTGCATTTTATATCACAATAAAAATTTTTTCTCTTTAAATTGTGTCAAATTGGCTTCCTAGTATAAACTTGTTCTTAATGGTTAGAGTATGAGAAATTGCAAAATTGCATTCATTTAATTCAGTTCTTAAATAGGCTGTCCAAATAAGAATTTTTAACTTAAAACCAAGGCAAGTTGTGTCAAGTGCTAAATTAAAACTTGCCCCATTATTGCAGCAGTAATGAAAATGCAGTGAGTTGGATAGTCAAACTTGATATCAAACTCTTGAGATTTGCTGCTATTCATCTAGGAGTTGCATCATTCATTCAATAATCTCACATTACTTAAGTTATTTAAGATGTGCAGTTCAGTACAAAATTTAACATTTTTTAGTTAGAAGTACAATTATAAAATGGATGTCTTTGCTAGCAGTTTGATTTTTATTTGGGTGCGATACCTGGTGGTGCTCAAAGCTTCCTTTTGGCTCTGGGCTTAGATATCACTCCCGGTGGGCTTGGAGGACCATATGGGGCTTGGGGAGTCAAAGGTCAGTTGCATGCAAGGCCAGCATCCTGTACACCCTACACACTGTCCTATCTCTGGCCCTTTGGTAGCAGTTTAACAAGATGGAGAAGTCATTAAAAGGGCTGATTTTCAAATATTTTTAAAAGTTAATTATTTGGCTGGATTATATACTGAATACTAAAATAATGAGCCTGAGGTACGGAATGGTTTGGTTTGTCTACTTTCCCACATTTTTGCATATATTGTACATCATGAGGGTGTGAGATTTTTTAAAATTTGCTGGTGTATGTACTTGACCTAGTGATTTGACACAATAGGATAGGACCAGGAATCGCACAGTTTTACAGATAATTTGGACTGATGATTGGGTACAGTTTAAACAACATAAATTTTCTCCTAACATCAACAAGTTTCAGAAGTGATACTGTGTACTGTTAACAATGGTTATGGTTAAACGATAGCATAGAATCAAATCACTTCCTGTGGGTGTTGCCCACAAACTTCTCCATGACTTGGCCCGTGGTGTTCTCAGCTGCTGTGATCAGTAAGCTCCGGCTTATCTCTGGGGACCAACACATTGTTACGTCAGGAACACTGCTGTGCTGTTTTCACTCTGGTTCACTTGAGTCCAGTATTGTATTACTCTGAAGTCTGTATTATGCAAGTCTGCTCAGACTGTCTTGTCTAATCTGATTTTACTCTTAATCTCATCCCCCCTGACCCAAAGTATTTATCAGTTACATTTATGTGTATATTACGTCTCCAGGAAACTGAGGCTAAATAAGGGAAGTGGACCTGGTTTTAGTCACTGCTGCGTCTGCAATATCTTGAACAGTGCATCGACAGTTGGTTGAGTAGAGTGAGTGATGAGGGGCTGGAGAGAGAGTACAGTGGACAGCGTGCTTACCTTGCACAGGGCGGATCCAGGTTCCATCTCTCAAAATGCATCTGGTCCTCAAGCACAGCCAGGAATGAGCCCTGAGCACGACCAGGTGTGGCTCACAATGATTACACCTTACACTGAAAACTGCCAGGAGAGGAGGGTTGTGGTGGTGCAGAACAGAACACCGGCCCACTTGGTACTAGGAAATCTCACTAGCAGTCTGTTGTGATCTGAACATTGTTGTTTTTTTGTTTTTTTGTTTTTTGTTTTTTGTTTTTTGTTTTTTTTTTTTTTTGCTTTTTGAGTCACACCCAGCAATTCTCAGGGGTTACTCCTGGCTCTGCACTCAGGAATCACCCCTGGTGGTGCTTGGGGGACCATACGGGATGCTGGAAATCGAACCCGGGTCAGACGTGTGCAAGGCAAACGCCTTACCCACTGTGCTATTGCTCCAGCCCTGAACGTTGTTTTAACCACAAGAAACATCAGTATGGATTCATTCTTGAGTAGAAAGTACTCCAGTAGGAACACTTGTTTAGCTCAATCTCCTCGGGAAAGACCAGATAGCTTCTGCCAGGGTTGCCCACTACCACTGGCATCCGCTAGTTTAACTCCACTTAATGGGAAGAGGCAAATCAAAACTAGGGGTTAAGTTGTACCTGTTTCTGTTACCAAGTTCAATGAACAGACAGGGTCCTAATTTTATGTGTGTTTTTGTACCTGTGTATGAAGTGCTCTGCGGACCCAGTTGTCCCAGCTGCTGTCTCCATTCAAAGACTTTTCCCACATTGATTTTATCAGACCTATAAACTTACTGGCTAATTGCCTTTGTTATGTATCGCTACCATTCTAATGTGTAACAAACTGCTCCCAAAGCCATAATGGTTTAAAACAACACTAATTATTTCTCACGTGTCCACAGTTGTCTGACCTGCTCTTGGACATCTCCGGCTAGCGACAGGTGGCTGGTCTCGGAGGATCTTACTGGAGGCGCCCTTGGTTGTGCAGCAGGGTCTTGGCAGTCTGTCCAGGCTTGTCCTCAATATAATAGCAGTTCCAGCAGAGAACTGTTGCACTCTTGAGGTTAGGCTTAGAACTGAGATAACAGTTTCAGCACATTCTGTTGATCAAACTGAAAATAGAAGGCCTTTCTGGATCAAAGAGTTTCCATCTCTTTGATGGATGGAAAGGACTACAAAATGATTTTTACAAAAGGAATGGATTACCAGTATTCAGGAGAACAATGAGAATTGTATGTAAAGGGCATGGATGTAGAATTAAGTGGAGAATTGTGATCTTGTCATCACAGTAGACATAGGAGTTACTTACAATATTGGTACCCCAATTGGCTCAATAGGGAAAAGAGTAAGACAAATTCCAGTTGTATTTTTTTTTAATTGTTTTTGTTTTTGGACAACTGTCAGGCCTTAGGGCTTACTTCTAGCTTTCTGCTCACGGATCATTCCTGGTGGTACTTAGAGGCCCATTCGTGGTGCTGGTGGTCAAGCCAGAATCTGCTGCATTTGTTAAGGCAATTGCCATAACCCTATACCATCTATCCGGCCCCAGAGTCACTTATTTCTTAAAAGAAGGTCACATTCTAAACACAATGCCTGGTACAAGGACTAGAGTTGACAATACTCATATGACAACATAGTATTTGAGGTTACAGACTGATACCAGATGCTTGAATTCAAAGTCCCCACTCAATAATTTACTAGTTATATAATCCTGGGCAATTTACTCAGCTTCAATTTCCTCTTTGTAAGCTGTGGATGAAGAGTTCTACATTCCTAGAATTGGTATGCAAATTGGACAAATAAAGACACTTTGAGTAGTGTTCTAAGTACTTAATCAACAAAAATAGAAGGGAGTGGGTTGTACAGGAGTTCAGGCACATCCCTGGCACCACAGATGGTCTCTGAGCACTGCTGGAGTGATCCCTGAGCACTAACCCAGGAGTAGGCCTCAAGCGTGGGCCAAAAGCCAAAACCAAAAAGAAACTAGTAATACAAAGTTAAATTTATAAAATGCCATACAAGATATTAGTTGTAGTAGTAGTAGCACTGTAGCACTGTCTTCCCATTGTTCATCGATTTGCTCGAGCAGGGACCAGTAACGTCTCCATTGTGAAACTTGTTGTGTCTGTTTTTTAATCACTTAACTTCCCGTTAATCGGCGATTTGCTCGAGTGGGCGCCAGTAACGTCTCCATTTGTCCCTGTCGCGTGCTAGTGTAGCCCAATGGCATCTGTTGGCTCGAGGAACATGAAGAGCCTCAAACCGATCGTTAATGATCTTGATGAATGTGTGGCCGCCCACCTACCAGATGGTCAGACTTCTTCATCAAGTGTCTGTTTTTGGCAATATAAAAATACACCACGGGGAGCTTGCCAGGTTCTGCCATGTGGGTGGGATACTCTCCGTAGCTTGCTGGGCTCTCCAAGAGGGGCAGCGGAATCAAACCCAGGTCGGCCACGTGCAAGGCAAATGCCCTACCCGCCGTGCTATCGCTCTAGCCTGTAGTGGTAGTACCTTATGGTAATAAAGGAAACCAGCCTATTTATGCCTGAGGATTTAGAAAAAAAATGTGGGTTCTTGTATTAAATCGTTTTTATTTTTGTGAAAACAAAGTAGTTTTTTATTGAAAGATTTAGGGAGGTGTGAGAAGAAAGACTGTGGGCTTCTGGGCAGGGGATGGGGCGGCAGATAGTGATTTTTGAAACAAGGTTATATAGTTTCTCCAATTGTTTTGGCCCCAAGTTTAACAGAAAAATAAATCTCGGTGTCGTCACAGGGAAGGCCTTGGACTCTTGTGGTCCTTTCATATTCTTATTAAGACCTTTATATTCTTTAGTTTCTCCTTTCCTGAGGGTGTCTACTTCCTCTCTGGGTGGTTCCTCAGTTTCTGCACATGGATGGTGCCTCTGTTGCCCCATTGAAGGATAACATTGATTTGTCCTTTCTTCCTTGCCACAGGGAGGTTAGGATAATCAGGTTACACCCACTACAGTGCTCCCGAGTCACTCCCGTTCTTCTGTGTTTACCTGGAAATAAAGGCCATCAATGCCTGACTTGTGGGAGAATAATAAAGTTCCAAGCCCTATTGTTGTCTTCATCCTCCCCGCCCCCCCCCCGAAAGTTTAACCTCTATATAATTAGAAACTGTCTTCGACAAAAAGATGTTACCAGAGACAGTTTTCTCTCCTCCTTTACCAAGTGGTTTATTTTTTAAATAAACTCAGCTAGTTATTTTTCATAATAAAACCAAGCCCCTCTAGGAACTGGGCTATTGCCATCTCTAAGTCATGTTTCATTTAAATTATACAGAGGGATATTTTTTTAAACCAGACCCACTAGGATAAACTTGTCCAATCCCCTCTACAAACATGTGATCTGTACTTTCACAGAGTTCCTCAGGGCCGGGAAGAAGGGCGCTGGCTTAAATGCCTGACAATTCCTAAGAGTTATCCTAGAGAGTCTAATAGTAGGGCTTGGGGCTTTGTCATTCTCCCAGGAGTCAGACATTGATGACCTTTATTTCCAGATTAGGCATTATCAAGCTTGAAGGTAAAACTAAATATCCTGAAAAAATTTGAAATGACTAGAGGTTTTGCTATGTCATAACTGGATATTCAGTCTACAGAATCCCG